GTATGCGAAACATTCTTCGCAACGTCCACATTTCGAAGGCCTCGACCTTAATAATGAAAGGTACTCTTAACGTCCATGTTTCCATGTCGTATAACAATATGGACCATACATAGCATTTAACCATCCTGTAGCGGAGATTGAAGGAGAGGTTGCGGTTATATAGTAGCGGTTTAAACTTGATAAAAGCTTGTCTTGGTTATTCGGTATGGCATTGTATTTCTTGTTAAGGATCCCATTGGTCATTCATCATCATTCCCAAGTATTTAAATCTTTTCACTTGATCGAAAAAAAGGAGACAAACTCCAATGCAAAAACTACCGTGGAATTTCTCTACTATGTACAGCGTATAAAGTCCTCACGTATATTATAAACCAGCGACTCCAACCACTAACAGAAAATATTATTGGAGAATATCAGACGGGCTTCAGACGGGGAAGATCAACAATGGATCAAATATTTACAGTCAAGCAGGTCTTGAGCAAATCGTGGGAACACGACATTGATGTTCACAACGTGTTTGTAGACTTCAAACAGGCATACGATTCAGTCAAAAGGGACAGGACTATACTATATATTGGCAGAATTAGCAATACCACATAAGCTAATTAGACTCATTAAAGCCACAATGGATGAAACTCAGGCATGTGTACGAATACAAAACAACCGGACAGACTTTTTCAAAATCTCGCAGGGACTAAAGCAGGAAGATGGGCTGGCACCAACATTGTTTAACCTGGCACTGGAGTATGCGGTCAGGCAAATGCAAACTGGACGAGAAAATCTACTGACCAATAAAACGGTTCAACTGGCTGCCTACGCCGATGATATTAATATTATGAGTAGAACATCAACAGGAGCACAGGAATCATACGCAGAGTTAAAAACACAAACAAAAAGGCTAGGTCTGGAAATTAACACAGAAAAAAACAAAAATAATGGTACAGACGAGAAGAAATATAATCCCAGAAAACATTATACATGAAGATGACATTGAAACGGTTGGAAAGTTTACATACCTGGGAGTAGAAATACATGCCGATGGAGCAGAGGATGGAGAAATACGAAAAAGGATAACGCAGGCAAACAAAGCTTATTTTGCCCTCTCCCATATATTTCGGTCTAAAAGTGTCCACCGAAATACAAAGATGAGAATATATAAAACTTTAATTCGGCCAATAGCATGTTATGGCAGCGAAGCATGGGTCCTGAAAGAAACATCCAAAAACAAACTCGACACATTCGAAAGAAAAGTACTGAGGAGAATACTAGGACCTGTGAGGGAAAACGGAATCTTCAGAATTCGATATAACAACGAGCTCTATCAACTGTATAAGGAAACACCCCTGTCAAACTTCATTAGAATACAAAGATTGCAATGGGCCGGACATGTGATACGAATGGGAGAGGATAGGCTACCAAAACGAGCACTGAACGCTAGAATGCAGGGAAAGAGACCAGTTGGAAAGCCAAGAAAGCGCTGGGAAGACACAGTAAGCAGCGACGCACAAGCACTTTTAGGAGTCCGTGTATGGAGAAGAGCAGCCACAGACAGACAAGGGTGTAGGCAAAAAATAAAGGAGGCCAAGGCTCATTTTGGGCTGTAGTGCCGTAGAAGAAGAAGACTTGATCGATTGGAGCATGTTTTACTTGCAGTTGTATTCTTAAATAGAGTGCTTATTGCCATGCATTTAGTTTTTCCAGCATTTATCTTCAAGCCATATATTTAACTATGGCTTGTTTTAAACTAGAGGGCTCAGGGTGTCTACATGCTTTATCGCAAAAGCGTATTGGTCTGAAGACAAGGGTATTAATGACTGAGTTAATTTGTGAAGGTGAATGATGAGAGTTATCATGCAAGTAACTATTGCTATGCGTGGATTTTCAATAAACAGAGCGATGAAAACATTAGGATTGGTTTTCCTTTATGACAAAGTCGAGAAACAGTAAGGATCAATCAGTTTTCGCCTTTATCGTGAACTGGACACTAGAATGCATACCATTCAGATGGGTTTGAAAAGATACGAAGCATCCCTGCCCTAGGGCCAAATGACAAATATATCTGAAAGATATCGTAGCTAACACGTCCATCACGTCACCATCGACGGTATAGATAAACCGTCCACTGTTCCCAGTAGCAGTAATGCATTAATTAGTCATTAGTGTAGTAGTGTCTGAAGGCTTGAGGTACTGAAGTCCTGAAAAACTATCAGGGAGAATGTACTTAAATTGCCAGTCAAATTACAATTACAATTTATAACATAATATACTACCGTTAATATAACAGTTTTTATCGGGACTTATACATAAAGGCACAAAAATCCCTGAGACACAGCTCATTTTTAAGGATTTTCAGTAACTGAACTAAAGTATAATGGCCTTGTTCAAAAACAATTTTTAACTTTCTAAATAAACGCAAATTTTCAGTACATAGTAATGGAAAACTTTCTAGGATTAAGTCTCAAGACAATGGAATACCACATGGATCTGTTATTAACCCTAAACTTTTTTTAATAGCAATGAATGATGTTAAAAAAAATCTCAAGAGACCGGCACAGGCTAGATTTATGATGATGATATGATAATGTTTATCAAGGGAAAAACTATTAACTCGATGGTCAAACTTTTACAAGAAGAACTAAATAAAATCTAAAGTTGGTCTAATAGAAGTGAATTCTATTTTTCAGCTGACAAGACACAATATATTATTTTTTTTCCAAAAGGCCTGTTTACGCTAACATATCTGTTTTAAAATTCGTTTTCAACTATTCAAAATATATGTAGCAGCGGCACGTAAGAACTGGAAAATGAAAATACACGGAATGGATATAGAGATAGATGACACATACCTGTTTACTCTTCAGTTTGCAGATGATCAGGTCATAGTAGCCAATGACAAAGACGACGTGCAGTATATGATTAGAAAGCTGATAGAAGAGTATGAGGAATGGGGCTTGACAGTTAACGTAAATAAAACGAAATATCTATGTGTAGGCTCTCAGAGCGAAAATTTGGAGTTGGACAACGGTCAAGAAATTCTGCAATGTTAAGAATATGAATATTTAGGTATCACATTCGACAATACCGGAACAGATGTGAAAGAGATAGAAAAACGAATAGTTACAGCTAAAAAGATAATAGGATGTCTGAATGGTATCTTGTGGAGCAAGGAGATAATAAAAAGTAGAAAATTTAATATATACGAGACAATGGTTAAGAGCAGCCTATTGTATGGAGCGAAAACATGGAGAATTCCAGACAGACAAAAAAAGAAGGTAGAGGCAGTCGAAATGGACGCGATAAGAAGATCTATGCGAGTCTCACGAAGAGAAAGAATGAGGAATGACCATATAAAGCAACGAATGGGAATAGAAGGTACGATAATTCAGGATATCGAAAAGAAACAACTTACCTGATACGGACACGTAGAGCGAATGCAAAACTAGAGTGGCAGCAAAACATAAAAAAGTCAATGAGCGAACGGAATCTATCAACGGAAGATTGCCACGATAGAAGAGGATGGAATGTCGGACAACGGAGAGGGACGTTCTAAACCGGCATATATATGTATAATCGTTGGTCTAGCGCACAGAGGTGCTAAGTGAAAAATCGCTAATTTGAGTAATTGCAAAAACAAAGTTTATAACATCATATAAAGTCAAATAAATTTTGTTTTTAGCGATTTATTTGTTTTTTTTTAAACTATACACAATTGTTTAATAATGCGATTTAAAAAAATTGAAATAAATCTCATAGTTGCTTTGGAAAAAACATATTTTCAAAACAAAAGTTTCACTTAACTCATATATGTTACTAGTTAATTTAATTCACTAAATAAGACAACATTAGACTTAAGACCATTTTAATATTAAAATATTATAAATTCTCAAACAAAACACAAAAAACTCTTTAAAAATAATTGTATTGAAGATTAGTCTATCTCCTTGTGTACTGCTAACTGCGTTGAATCCGATGTCGATGGAAGACTAATAATGAAATCTCTGTATTCTTCAGGAATATTTTTTTTATTGAGTAAATAAACAAGGTCTTCCTTCTTTTTATCAGAAATAGGAATGCGACTGGGATATTTAGATTTTAGCTGTACAGAAGTCCAGTTCTTTGTTCGGCCGATCGTTTTTTGCTTTGTGTAATATCAAGTTCCAAAAAAGTTTCTGATGATAGATCGTACTTATATTGAATTGTGAATGACTTTGCTTTCTGAAATCTCAACCACTTGATTTTAAGCCATTCAACCTTGTCCGCAACACAATTTACAGTACTGTTTGTCATAACGTCATCGACAAGATTCTGTAAATTAAAAAAGTCTGAATTCTTTAAATGAATAACTTGGTATGGTCTAGGTTTCATCCTAGCAGCTGAAATTAATAGACACCACTCCCGAGTGTTATAAATTTGTTTATGTGCCCGAGTCCTCTCGATTGTAGAGTGAATTTAATCCGCTTCCAGGTAGGAATGACCTGATTCCATAAATTTTAAGTCAATGATTTGAAGATTATCAATTGTATTGACGGCATAGAGCATCGCTGTGGCAACGTTTTTATTTCTGTTTTGACCTCCGCATGTGTCAGAAAAGGAAGCTACGTGGCTCAAAGTTTTGGGTAGGTCTAGTAAATATTTAAGCAGACATGACCCAATCTCAGAACTACCTTTGCTACCATGAGTTTCATCCCAGACATAGCAATAACCATCTCGAGTAGATCCATCATAAATTGTAAAATTGTAAACATTTAGATGGCTCTTGTAATATATCTGAGAATCACCAGCAAACGGAACGGGTAGAATAGCTTCCAGATCGAATGTTATTGCTCTAAATGTTATTCCCAACGTGGCTGCTGCCGTTTTTTTATCGTCTTCTTTCATATCCATCGACTGTTTTTCGGCTTTTTTATGCTTTTCATACTCTTCTCTTAAGGGATCTTTTTCCTTGGCCTGCTTGAATGCATTACACACCGAACACTGATCCTTTTTTGGACGATAAAAGGCTAGAGCTGGTTCAAAATCATGAAAAATACTTTGGTACACAAACTTTGATGACTTAAACTATTAGAAGTGCAAAAGTCTTGATATAATCGGTACATGATGGAAATGTTTAAATCTTCATTTAAATAGTTTTTAGTTGAATCACGCCTGCAGTAATGTGACTCAATTCTTGGAAATGAGTTAATATGATCCTTAACTTGCTGCCGTTGTATCTCAGCAGTTGCATTGTGGGGTTTGCTATTCTTTATTTTATCACAGCCGACAAAAATTCCCTTATTCATAATTTCTTTAACACACTTCTCAACGACTTTACGAGATATAACAAACATGGCTGTAAAAAACTTGAGGCAGACTCGATGTCTTTGCCCATTATTATCTATTAAATGATATAACCTTGACTCTTTTCGATTTTTCGTTATGGAAGTTTGTTTGCTTCTAGATACATTCACTATTTGTATCAAAGAACTCAACAGCGTTTTTTGTCTCGTATAATCTGCTAAGCTGTAGTAATCTGCACACAGTTGTGCCCTTTGCTCTTCAGAAAATAGTTTTTGACATTTAAACCTGCACTTAGAGCAATCTGTTGGAAGAGGACTTTTTTCTGTAATTTCCTTTCCGGAGCGATTAATATATTTTTTACCACTAATTCTTAACTCTTTTACAATTGATCGTTTCCATTCTTTTTTATTGGCTTTTCTGCGGCGACGTTTTTTTGGTATTTCATTCGGTTCCTCATCTTTAGGCTTGTTTTTATCAACATTTTCAGATTCAGTGCTTTCTTCTGACGGATGATAAGAACTTCCCGATGAAGCATAGAGATTATATTCATCAAGATCACTACCATTATATGAGTCAAATTCTTGAATCTGGTGATTAATGTTTTTATCACACAAATTTTCGTTTGTTTCATCAGTTTCCTGTACTTGATTTATAATAATAGTTTCTGTTATATCAATTTCTACATTACCTGGTACTAGTTCAGTAGTTTTTTCCAATGCCGGAGTTATTGTGGCAACTGAAATAAACAATTATTTTTAAGTAAAACAAGATGGTTTTACAGTCGACACCTTACTATACCTTTAAGCTCTTTTCCTACATCATCTAACGCCATCTGTAGTATCTTCTCCGATCTGGACGCCATAATTATAATTACAATTATTTTATATCACTTTTCATAAATCAAATAACAACTTTACAAGTATCACTGTAAAATAACCTCAAAACGCAAAAGAAGCATGTGTTCACTTCACTCATTTGTAATTATTGCACAAGAAACACAAAGGTACTAAGTGCTCTTCCAACCATTGTGTCAAATTTCTACAATTTATTAGTACTTACCACTCTCGTTAGATGGCGTTAGCTAATTTAAAATTATATGTGCATATGAAACTCCTTGCTAGTCTTCATTTCGGAATGCATTTAACTCATTTTGCCAAAAAAGTCACTTAACACCTGTGTGCGCTAGACCGACGATATATATATATTATATATATATATATATATATATATATATATATATATATATATATATATATATATATATATATATATTGTTTACGTTAAATCCGTCCTCTAATAACCAATATGGTTGATGCGGCTGTCTTTAAATAAAAAAAATGAGAATTGTTTGTCAGTTTGAGGATATTTATATTGATATCGCCTAGGAATCTGGTGTAAATGCTATTTTAAAAAACTCAGTGTTATATACAAAGTTTTATATTTTTCACATTGAAAACCAAATAGCATCAGACTACGGAATATCGATGTGAAGACACTTAACACATCCAAAAAGTCCGAAAAGATCGAAGAATGGTCCTCAATTGATTCTGACATATTAATAATTCATAGAGGTCGGACCTCTGTCAGCCAACTTGATTATATTGAACAAAAATATGGTTCAGATTAAAGTTCGGCCCGAGGAAATAGATTATCGGGAGATATTGGATTTCTGAATTAATATATGTTGTAGATAGATAGAATGGATTTTTTATTGCCGATGATAACTCTTATCCAAAAGAAATTCTTTGGAGATCCCTTTGATATAAGTGAATTTCGGATGCTTTATATCAAAACACGAAGCGTAATAATTTAAATTGAAAATGGTTGAATAAAGCCCGACGATGTTTCGCGGCAAAAAACATCGAAATCCATAATTGAAAATGGATTTAGGTGTTGTTTTAAATTTTTACAACGTACAACGTTGGCTTTGTTTTAAATTTAAAAAGGATTTTTAGTGGTTTAGCTTATTCAGCAATGTATAAAATATATATCCGCTTATGAATTGGCCAACGCAATAATCCATTCCAATAATAAGGTCATGCTGGTTTTTAAGCGCCTTAAAATAGTACAAAAACATTATGTTTTATATATAATTCCGTTCATTCATACCAGCGGTCGGGGAAATTGTTTAATCATTACCCGAAAATATTTTAGTAAGTTAATATTACACCGATTACACCGTGGCGAAGGGCAAAAAAAACGAAACCACCTCTGTTTAGTCTTCTTCTTCTTAGCCTTCTCTCGTCCATGTTTGGACATAGGCCTCTCCCAACTCCTTCCATCGGTCTCTATACTGAGCAACATATTTCCAATTTGTTGGAAACTTGACCATCTGTGGTCTTCCTCTTGGTCGTTTACTTTCGTAAGGTCTCCAATGTTGTATTGTAGTATTCCAACGATAGTCTTTTTGTCTAGCAGTGTGGCCCGCGAAGCTCCATTTAAGTTTGGCAATTTTGTTGTTATGTCCTCGACTTCTGTTTTTGATCGTACCCAGTCATTCCTCTTTTATCTGACAGTCGTATACCTAACCTTGCTCTTTCCATTGTTTTTTCTGTGGTTTAATAATGAGTGCCTTGGTTAGGGTCCAGGTTTGATATCCATATCTCATGATAGGAAGGATGCATTGGTTGAACAATTTGCTCCTCAAGTATTGGGGTATTTTGCGGTTCTTAAGTATCCAACTAATTTTTCCAAATCCTGCCCATGCTAGTCTTGCTCTTTTAGTAATTTTGGCACTTTGGTTATCTTTATCAAGTTTCAGGATTTGGCCTAAGTAGACATATTCCTGGACTTGTTCTATTTCACTGCCATTTATAGTTATACGTCTGGGGTCATCTGTGTTTGTCATTATTTTTGTTTTTTTCATATTCATTTTTAGGCCGACGTATTGGGAGCTGCCTGCTAGTTCCCCCAACATAATTTGTATTTCCTCGAATGTGCTCGCTATAATGATTATGTTTTCAGCGAATCTGAGATGGTTTAACTTGTTGCCATTAACGTTAATGCCATAGGTTGACCAATTTGTAGTTTTGAAGACGTCTTATAGGGCTAGGTTAAAAAGCTTTGGCGATATTACGTCTCCTTGTCTCACTCCTCTCTTAAAGGGGATTTTTATTTTCATCTAGTTGTACTATCATAGTTGCATTTTCAAATATATTATGTATTAGTTGCCTATATCTCAAATCTACTCTACAATTATTATTAGCTTGTTCTATGGCCCACATTTCGATACTATTAAACGCCTTTTCATAGTCGACGAAGGCAAGAAATACGGGTAATTGGTATTCATTTGCCTTCTCTATTAATGTTCTCATTGTCAGCAGATGGTCTGATGTACTGTAGCCTTTGCGGAAGCCAGCCTATTCAACCGGTTAGTAATTGTCCATTTTGTAGGTCATCCAGTTGTTAATAATTCTCATAAATAGTTTGTATACTTGACTGAGAAACGATATAGATCTATAATTCTGTAGATCACATTTGTCCCCTTTTTTGTAAGAGTATTGATAGACTCTGTTTAGTATCTTTTATATTATAGCCCCAATATGTACTGTTTCGCATTATACCCCCCAATAAGTAAAAATTTAATTTAAACATCATTTATTCAATTTATCAAGTTAATACCTAGTAATACATAACGGTAAGAATAGTAATATACCCTGTGGGACTTTTTGTCAGTTCTTCTATCAGGCGCGGCCCACTGCGCTGCCTGGGGATTGCCAGGGCACGTCTAGAGCCGGCGCTGGACGTGACAGCATGCGGGACGTCGGTGGCAGGGTGTCGAGGAGCGGGCCCCTGTCATATAATCAACTGCGGCCCAACAACAACAAGAAGAACCACAAGTAAACCAAATAACAGCAGAAGCTCTACTCGCTGACGCTGCTACGCTGAAACATCAGCCGGCGCTTACTCAAGCGGGACGACCGAGGCAGCGCATGAAATGGACTGTATCTATTAAAAAAACATTTTGCGCTTTTATTACCAGGTGACAAACCTAGTGAACAAATTCCCCTTCTTTGCCTCAGTAAAGATGTTCGTTCAGTTGTAATGGAAACACAAAATAATAGTAGCAGAGTGTATTGACGAGACGTACACTATGGGTGTTGACCCAGGATTACTTTGAGTAGAGACTGTTGCAGTTGAGCGTTGAAGACTATCACGTTTGTTGAGTGAATATTGATTGAATGCTTCTCTAGGCAAGAGATTTTAGTTTTATAAAAGTTTTAATTGGGTCAATATATTCGCGGACCTAATGACATGTGTATCTAAGTTGTGTGTAAATCGTTTAACTTTCGTCAGCCCTTTCGACTGATGTCCAAATTTTATTGTTGATAATTGACCAATTCTAATGTAACCTAATTAACTACGTGTGTGTATTTAATAACAAATAAATTCATTCGGTCTACTGGGTGATAAAATTATACTGTCCAATTTCGGATGTGAATTCTGAAGATTTGATATTGGACACCTAGGTTAAAAAACGATCGGCTATTGACCAAATCTCTATGCGGAATTTTGCAGAGAGCAACAATCTTATTCCGGTGTGTGAAGGGGTAGCGAAGCGCAATATATGATGCCGTATCCTGTTGGCGTCACTTAGCCTCTCCTACTCAATTCCTATCTTCACTTCCAAGCTGGTACACACCGGTAACCTGAGCAACCCCACTGGAGATTGGGTAACCAACCCCCAATGGAAGGTGGGGTCAGGGCTGACGAAGAAGGGAGTCTTGGTCCTCCGACGAATAGGGGGTTGGGCTGAAGGTTAACTACCTTCTCCTAGAAAAACCATGAGTTATGAACGTTCAAGGAAGAAAAGCCGACTGATTAAAAAAGCTGATTAAACGACGACGACTGTGCGAGAAAAAGGAACACGATTTGAGGGTTGCGACATGGAATGTTCGAACATTGTACAGATTAGGGGCTCTCCAAAATCTCTTAAACGAACTAAGTAGATACAAAATTGACATAACTGCCATACAAGAAATGAGGTGGATTGAAAACAATATTATGGAAAAAAAGAGCCACACCATTTTCTACAGCTGCGCTCCTAAAGATCACATTTTGGGCACTGGATTCATAGTTAACAAGAGAGTAAGACATATAATAAAAGACTTTAGAGCCATCAGTCCCAGAATGTGTATTTTAAGAATTAAAGGACGTTTCTTCAACTACAGCCTAATTAATGCGTATGACCCCACAGAAGAAAAAGAAGAGGAAGTCAAAGAAGAGTTTTATGATAAATTAGAGTCCGCATACCAGTCATGCCCAAAAAGTGATATAAAAATAATTTATGGAGACTTAAACGCAAAAGTTGGAAGAGAGCAGGAATTCCAACCCACAATAGGTAAGCACAGTCTCCATGAGCAATCAAATGACAATGGCAATAGGTTGGTAAACCTAGCAAGATCACTTAACATGGTGATTGCTAGCACATACTTCGCTCGAAAAGATATTCACAAAGGCACCTGGAAATCACCAGACGGACTTGGCGTCTGGTGATTATGATAGATCATGTTATTGTAGACTCAAGACACCAATCGAATATAATAAACGTCCGTACCAGAAGAGGGGCAATGCGGATTCTGATCACTACCTGGTCGAAAGTAGGATAAGGGCTAGAATTTCAAACATCAAAAAGGAAAGAGGCTCTAAACATGAACGATACAATATAGAAGGACTCAAAGAAACAAACAAAAATAGAGAGTACAAAGAAAATATAAGCATCAAACTAGAAAACAGACTAAAACATGAAAACCTAAATGAGGAGTGGGAAGAGTGCAGAGAAATCATAAAAGAAACAGCTAAAGAGGTGTTGGGCATGGAAGGTAAAGAAAGAAGAACAAGAACGAATCACTGGTTTGACGA